TAGAACAATGGCATCTAAATCCACACACAGAGACCAAAGGTTAACTGATTGTGGAGATGTAGCAGTTGCTCTTTGCAATGGATTGTGAATAACTCTGGGAAATTGAACAATATTGCTGTGAGTTTTGCTGCCTGCCTGTAGGCAGTTTTATTAACTGAAGATTTTCTCCTACACTGGATGTTTAATAGAGCAAAACTAGGCATCCATTCAAGTATTTCTGCCCTATTGCAAGCCAAACAAATCCTTTTATTTTTTTATTTTTTATTAATTCACTCAGAAGAGACAACCTAGAGGTTTTCTAGTGTTTAATCCCTTGCAAAAGGCATTTTGATGAAAATGAAAAATCTCAGGCCCAAAAGCAGAGGAAATGGTATGTTCAGGTTCAGGTCCCTGCCAGTGGGCAGTACCGAGATGTCACATATGGGACTCTACCATGAGGGCTCCTGGCAGGTGCTTTCTTGACACGGTGTACATAGCCTTTGTTGCAACACTAAATGCCACCATGCCGAGGGCATGCCCAGCCTGGGAGGGTGCCACAGCTGCAACAACATCCTGGCCAGCACTGCAAGTGCAGGATCTGCTCAAGGGTAGCATAAAATATATTTGAATGATGTCCTAGTTTTGGCTGTGATAGAGTTAATTTTCTAGTAGCTGGTGCAGTGCTGTCTTTTTGACTTTAGGCTGAGAATAATGCTGATAACACCAATGTTTTAGATGTTTCTAAGTAGCCCTTACCTTAATCATGGACTTTTCAGTCTCTCAGGCTCTGCCAGTGAGGAGGAGCACAAGAAGCTGGGAGGAAGCAAAGACAGGACACCTGACCCAAACTAGTCAAATGGGTATTCCATACCACAGCACATCATGCCCAGTATATGAATTGGGAAGGAGTTACTTGGAAGGACAGATCACTGCTCTGGTCAGGCTGGGTATCGATCAGTGGGTGGTGAGCAGTTGTATTGCGCATCACTTGTGTGTATTGCTGTTTTTTCCCTTTACCCCTTTTGGTTTTATATTTTCTTCCCTTGTTTTTTCCCTTATTATTATTAATATTATCATTAGTATATTGTCCTTTAGTTATTAAACTGTTCTTATCTCAACCCATGAGTTTTGCATTCTTTTGATTCTCCTCTCCATCCCATTTGGGGTGGGAAGGAGGGGTTGAGTGAGTGGCTGAGCAGTAGTAAGTTACCAGCTGGGGTTAAACCACAACAAACGACTTGTTAGGAGTTTACAGATATAAATGGGGAGTGTTACATTGGAAGATTATTAGAGCTCTGCATGACAGGGATAAATACAGGAAGGCAAAATTCTCATTTGCTTGGTGTCCTCAGGCATGTAGTTACATAGCCATGGCCTAGAGGAAGTTCTCGTTGCTCTTTAAGAGCTATTCCACATTTGGCACATATTAATTTATATGACTCTACACCTTTCCCAAATACTGTCTTATTGTGTAATAGTAAATAGTTTAAAAATACTGTGTCCAATATATGTCCAGCAGTCTGACTGATCTCTTGATGGGAGAGGTGGGCCAATCCCAGTGCTGACATTATGTCATCAGTAGCAGTATTACATAAAAACATCCTTGAGGGATGGAAGTGCACAGTGATGCTGAACAGAGCATTCTTGTATCTGCCCCATGTCCAGAGAACCAAACTGACTTTGGGCAGTAAATCCAACCGCAAGATTTCATGAAAAAATATGCAGAATACAAAAGCTAAAGTTTTGCTAAACATCAGTACTTTGGAGAACTGATTGCTGGACAGTGTCAGGCCACATTGTCCAGCTCATGAAGTGGATGTAACACTGCAATCCACTTCTCACTGAATAGCCTTAATATTTTAACCCAGTCAAGAGCTCTTTGCTGAAAGATGCCACATGGCAGAGAGCTAAACATTATAGTGCTGCTGCACCAGAAGATTTTTTCTGGAATATTTTGACTGACTGGTTAGGATCCTCAGCTCAGGTACAGACTCCTGTGCTTTCACTGCACTGTCTTGGTATTGCTCCTGCCTTGCTTGGAGCAAGTCTATTTTCCGTATCTTCCAGGAAAGAAGAACTTCACTGAGTGAAATTGCTGAAATGATAGCACCCAGAGGCTGGTCTCAGATGGCAAACCACAGCCCAAGGGCTATCCTGGCTGCAGGCACTGTCCCCTTGGACAGAGAGTACTGGAAACACTGCTTTTTACCCCAAACCAAGAACAAATGCTATTATGAAAGAGCAGAGACCTTTAAAACAAGAATAGTATCTGTCACCACCCACACAGTGTTGCGAGTTGAGCCGGATCACCCCCCGCCCCAGCTCTGAAATGCAGCGTTCACCCCTGAGAAGCTAAATCTGGAGAGAGTTTGGCTTTTCAACTTGGTTGTAAACTTTTGAGAAAGACTTATTCACCAGGGATGTGTCTGCTTGGGCCCTGCAGGGGCTCTCTGCCAGTGGGGGATGTAACTGTGTGCTGGCATGGGAATAGGGCTTGACTGTGCAAAACAAACAGAGGGAGTTAACCGGGTAATAAGTGAGTTCCTTGCACTTTCCTACAAGAGCAACATATTCCACAGTAAAAGCCCTGAGAGGCCTCTCCTCTCTTCTATTGGAATGTGAAAAACGGTCCTAATGAACACCAGGTGTTTCACAGAAGGCAGCTGGACAGCAACACATTTCAGAGAGCACAACTCTTCCCTTGCTTGGGTGTCCCCAGGATCTGCTCTGTGGCCTTGGACAAACATCCTGCTGCCAGGGAGGGACCCCTGCTCCTCAACACCCCGCAGCTTACTCTCTGCCTGCATTGCTGTAGGGGCAGGAGAGGAACTGAACCGTAGTCTTGCTCTGATGGGGTTAACCTTAAACTGGTTTGCTCAAGAAAGCAGCAGGAGAGCAGCAGTTCCCAGAGGATGCAGGCTGTGCTCCTGCCACTGGCTCACAGGATGCCAGGCTGCAGGAGATCTGGGTGTCCCAGGAGAGGCTGTGACAAAAGGCAGATCATTGTGCCCAGCTTTTTGCCGTGACTTCAGGGTAGCAACTTTCTTTTATTAGAAAGTGGAAGCTGAGGGCCTTATCTAATCCCAGGGCCAGGCAGCTGGAGCCTGAGGAAAGGCAGCTGCTTTGTGGAGAGACTGCCAGTAAAATAACAAGATTGAAACCCATTGTACCATATACATTTAAAGCATTTGGGAAAATTCCTGTGTTGCAGATGCCTTGCATGAGGTGCTTGGATCAGACGTGTACACAGGCAGAGTGAAATTTCTTATGCACAAAACTCGCTGAGGCTTCAGTGCCTCAAAACCTGAGCTCCTCTGAAAATTCAGTGATGCTTCAGACTGCGGATGCAAAAGTTGAAATTCCCTTTTTATCCCCCCACCTTAGTCAGTGCTTTTGATAAAACATAAATTTCTTAGCACTTATGCCCTTCCCCTCTGTTAGGATGGAGCTGTAGCTCTAACACCCATGGGGGGTGTAATCCAGGGGTCCCTGCTTACACCATATCCCCAGGACAGGGAAGGGGAGCTCAAAAGTATTCCTGAGCTCTGCACATCTGACAGGAGATGCAGATGAAATTTTACTTCTCCTTCCCCATAGCAAATATGAAAAGTCACCAAGCCGAGGATTCACAGGAATTGCCATGAGCTGTGTTAAAGAAAGATGCAGGACACAAAATTCCTCCTAAGATTTCCTGCCTCAAGCTCTCAGTTTATACCCCCTATTTCAAAGCCATCTTTAAAAAAACCCACTTGTCTTGACTGTGGAGACAGCAAGTCTATGTCAGAAAAATTTTCATATGATGACTGTGAATTAAAGGTGCATTTCATATTCCTTATCCATCAGAACAGCTCCCTTGGCCTGTCACCAGTTCCTGCTGCTCACCTGGGCTGAAATTTATACTGGTGAAAACTGGAGCAAAGAAAATGGAAGAGGCTCACTACTGATACTCTAAGCTCTGCAGCAAACATTAGTTTTCAAGGTTATGCCATGTCCACATTGATTGATAAACTATAAACATGCCTCTGCACAGAGTCTTGGATTAACTGTGGAGGACAACTGACAAGATAAATTGGATTAACTAACATCAGTTTTGTATGGCTGTAGGCTGCTGGAGGTCTCTTTTACTCAGTCAGATTGTACCAGGTTTGTTAAAATGCTTTTGAACATAGTGGTGGCATGGTGGCCCTTTACCCTGGGGCAAGGAGGGTTTGAAGCTTCCCTCCACATGAAGTCCAGACATGTCTGTCCACACAGAAAGGCTGTGATAGCATGAACAGGTCTTTGGTCCAACAGGAGTTTTTCAAGGCAGCTCACATGTGAGGAAAATCTGCTGAAAAGGCAGAAGAGACATAAGGTCTGTCCTGGAGTGCAGAGTGGTCCATGTGCTTCACATCCCAGATGTGGGGTCTGGGTACCCTCCAAGGGTTTCCTCCTCAGGCAGGTAGTGGTTTGTGGCATCATGTCACAGCGTCACTGACCTTGTGTTATGCCAGCTCAGCCAGCTGGTTCACAGAGGAGGAAATAGGACTTGGGTGCTACCACATCCCTGCCCAAGCTCTGCCCTTCGGTTGTTCAGGGACACTAATTATGAAGGAGGTTCTTGTTCTGCTGCGGTATAATTGTACAATGCACAGTGCAAGCCTTAATATAGCTCTGAGTGAATTCCTTTTGGTTTTCACCAGTTCTCTGAAAAGAGATTCAATCTTGAACCAAACAACAGAGCATTCTCCTAGCAATAAAATCTGTATTGAACACAGGGTGAAGGCAATGCTTGGGCTGGAGTTGCTCCCCAGGAGCTCTTGCAGGAGGTCAGTGACTTGGTGCATCTGTTGCCTTTGGTTTCTGAACTCGGGGTAGCAAATTCAGAAAACTTCTCCTTTTGCTACAACAATCAGAAAGTTGTGTTTGCAGAGGAGTGAGGCAGGGAGCAGGGTTTGGATCATGCCGTAGAGACAGCATAGGAGGAGGGAAGATGCTGACCTCTTGTCATGGTTGTTTTAGAAGCAGCTGGGACATCAATTTCAATTGATCACTGGGACATCAATTTCAGTGAAGAGTGTGCTGCCCTCCCCACCATCAGGGCTCTCCGGCCCATGGTAGCCTTGCCGAAAAATCGCTGCTCTCCTGGTGTGCCCCAGGCCCCGTAGTGCGAGGAGCGCCAGGACATGCTCCTTCCTGCAGAAACCAAACGAGACTTCACTCAGTCCTGTCGAGCCAAACCAGCTGGAGGCAGCACAAAGTGCCTGGGAGCATCCCCTCACCGCACTGGATGGGGGTTCGCACCATCCGGAGGTGCTGAGCCAGCGAACATCAGCTCCTACCACCAGGTGCTGCTGGGACACCACCACTCCTGCTGCTGGTGCTTTGGGGAATTCCTGCTCTGCTCCACACACATATGATGTCATTTGCAAGTTTTTCTGAGAGGCTGCAGACCTTTTATTTGATGATTATTTTGAGCTGAGTAATGGAAGTGCTAACGTTTAGGAAGCTGATAGACGCTAATTAGAGCTAGGAAAGCCAATTTGGAAACATATCCTGTTCCAGTAATCTCAGTATATACAAATTCAGCAACATCTCCAGGATATCAGGGGAAGAATTACCAGAGACCTGAACAGGAAGCAATGCAGGTCCAGCAGGTTCCTCCCCGTTTTACAGACTTAATGGTTAAAATAATATTACTCAATAATGGAAATAAAAATAATATTACTCAATAAAGGAAATAGATCAACAAAGAGGATGAACCCTAAAACCTGGCTTGGGTAGAAGGCTAATGATGAAAAAGTACCACAATCACAGCCTTGTAAATAGCTTTTCTGCCTGGAAAATTGTTTTGAAATAGCTAAGCCTGACTAGCCATCATTTCCTTCCCCCATCCTTCCCAAAAGAGGCACTGCCTCCTTTGTCAGCTTAGTCTGGCCACTGGGGTTCAGGCTTTTTTGTTGTTGTTGCTGGATAGGTGTGTTTATGTAGAAAATTACTCAGGAAAAATTATTCCTTTCAAGTCCATGTCTTGAATTTCCCCACGCAGATAAGCCTGATGCATATTTGACTCGCTCAAGTTAAATATGCCTATGAAAAATGTTGAGCCTCAGTTCTGGGGAAAAAATATATATATTTAATGGGTTTTTTTTTCCTCAATATTCGAGGGTCCACTTCAGTGTTGTGGGCAAGCTGTTAAATCTATGGTATTTTGACTGTATAAATGTTATCCAGCACGAGCTTAGTAACCAACACAGTGCAAAAACCTTTGGTCTTCTGAAATGACCCTGATGAAATGGAATATTTTGCAAGCTGTACCACTGATGTTCCTTGTCAATGGGTGGCAGGAAGCTGCAGAAGACAAGGTAACTTCTGATATGCAGCTGCTTAGCTATGCACTGAGCTAGTCACTCTATTTACTTTTTCAGGAGCCTTAAATTTTGCAGATGCTGCTTTGGAACAGCAAATGGAAAGTACAGAAGAAAGAATTTGTAACTTAATCCAAAACTTAGTGGTTGTGTTGAAGCCCTTTCAGGAACTACAGCTGAACTGTGTCAATGTCTGCTGCACTTTGAAGTCTGAGCTTGGGAACAGGAGACAAACTATTTGCTCCAAAGCTGGAGCCTGCAAGTTGTCAAGCTGGGCTGATACTGGTGTTGCACTGAAAAGCAGCCTCAAGCTTTACAATGAAACAAGATTCATCTGGAGGAATAGAAAAGTATTCTGCAATAGGAGGCATGGGAATGGTTCAAAGATGTGTTAAGTAGAGCTTTAGACCTGACATTAGGCATAATTTCTTTACCCAGAGGTTGGTCACACACTAGAACAGGCTTCCTAGAGTGGTGATCAATTCCCCAAGCCTGTCAGTAATTAAGAGGCATTTGGACAATGCCCTTAACGCCATGCGTTAACTTTTGTACAGCTCTGAAGTGGTCAGGCAGTTGGACTAGATGATCCTTGTAGGCCTTCCAAATGGAAACATTCTATCCTGTTCTGTTCTATAAATGCTTTTGAGGTAATTTGTGTGCAATGTAAGATCCAGCAGATGGGGAAAAGAGAAAAATGATACAGCTATAAATAAAGAGAAGTAAGGTGGGATTCCCTCTATTGCTGGCACCTTGACCTCTGGTGTGTAGCTACCAGCAGAGAAGCTGAAGAGCTTGGAGAAGGCATGGGGCAAGCTGGCACTTTTTGGGATGAAGCCCAGCTGGTTTGGCATCTGCTGTTTCATGTACCTGATATCTGGATAATCCTGACACAGCTCCTTGACGTACTCCTTGATTTTGTCTTTTTTCTTCTCCCCAGTGATACTGGCAATGTGGTTCATGGCGGGAACGAGCCAGTCAGCGTCAGAGCCCTGCAAACAAAGAGGCACAGGGGACCACTGGGGGGAGCAGTACTGACCTTGGGTGGCAGGGTGCTGCTGGGGGACAGCAGGGTGCTGGATGAGGCAGCTCTGGGTGGCAATGGCAAGGCATCCCCGGAACCTCTGCTGGGGCCTCCCTGATGCTCATGAACATCCCAGTGACCCAGGCCCTGGGCTGGGCGCTGTGGCTGTGGTCTGGCACAGCAGTGAATGCCAGAGATTTCACCTGTGTTGATGTGGGAGCAATGGCACTGTTTCCCATCTGTCTTGGGTACAAGGAGCTCTGACCAAAATTCCCCAGTGGGTTACTTCCCTTGCTGAATCCCTAGAGCTAATATGCCTCGACATAAAAACACACCAATATCTGTGAAAGGCTTCTGGGGACACCAGGAAGAGACTGGAAATATCCCTAAGGGATCCTAAGGCTAAAATAAACCTTCTCCACCACATTCCCTGTGTACTTCTCTTAGCTCTAAGGATTCTGTCTTTATATTCCTGGCAATCTCCTTCCCAATGATTTTCCCAACTTGTGCCCTCCTGGTGTGTTCCCTCCTGCTGGAGAGCTGTTTAGAAACACTTTCTCTGCTTTCGGTTCTCATGGTATTTTGTCTCTCTTTCGCATTGCCTTGGCTTGACTCCTTCTTTGCCTGTCCCTTAGGCTCCAAGACTCTCTACAGTTACTGGAAAGTCCCATTGGCCAGGCAGGTTTGGCTTAGACAGGAGCAGTTGCAGTACTGTCTTGCTTTATGCAATGACCTCTTATGCGTGGTGATTTGGAACAGGAGTTAGGGTAGGTCAAAAGAGGTGGGACCAAAGACCAGCTAAGGCTAGTGGACCCCATATGGCTGAGAGCAGAAAGTGCTGTCTACATCACCCAGGAAGCACAAACTGCATAGCAGCAAGTTGCCTTTTAGGCCTCTTAACACAAGTTAAGCTTTATCAACTGATATCAGAGCTTTAGCATCCTCACACTGAAAGAGTCAGTCCTTCTTCACCATGGAAACAGCCTGGAAAAATCACAGAATTCTGTCCTGTCTGAAGAGACTGATAACTCCATGATCTTAAAGGTCTTTTCCAATCTAATGATTCTATGATTCTGTAATAGACCATGATGGCAGATCTACAAATAAGTGTAAATCAAAGTCCTGAAAAATCCAAATGTTTTGATAGATGGAAAAATGTCCTATTGGTAGTGTCCAGCTGACTTCCCAGTGCTTCCGATGGGTAAAGTTTCCCCCTGCTGCTTTGCCTGAGATGCTGGAAGCCATTAAATAGTCTTTTTTTGTTGTTGTTGTTGCCATTGTGCTAAAGTAAACAACTTGACAAATGTATCATTGCTCATAGCGAAAAGCTCACAGGATGCTTTGGGTTAAGGATTTCTACACAATGCATTTTGGAGGGACCATAATGCCATGCACTGAAAAACGAGGTCTACTTGGTGAAACAAAGGAAGGGAGGTAGTCCTCAGCGCTGCACTGGTTCTGCACATACCTGTTATAGTTACAAACCAGTGTGCCCAAGATGCTCTTACCTGTGGTTTTTTTCTTAATTTGTTTAAAAAAATACTTGTGAAGTTCCTTGTCAGAGCTGCCACAATCTTCTGCAGTTCCTCAGTGGTGACTTTAAACATCGCTTCTAACCCTGACCTAGAGAGAGAGACGCACACACCACCAATGTGTTAATGTTAAATGGTAAACTATTACATTGCCACTTTATCCAAATTGGCATCTTGGGTGCTAGTTTAAGTAAATTTGTGTAGCTAGTACTTCCGCTTGGAAACACCTACTGGGTCAGAGTAATGACTCTTTTACACAATTCTATACACTGAAAATCAACCACAACTGAATAACTGTGCTTTAAAAACCACCTATTTCCTCATCAGATGGATGGTTCAACCATGCGGAGCAGTTGCGTAGGCTGGTTACATTTTCACTTGAGCAACATTTCCTCTGAATGATCTCCAGGTACCTGAGAGAGCACTGGGGCATTATGGGGTAAGGGAGAAGTAAATAATAAAGCCAAAGAAGGGAAAGCTGCTGACCCTGTGTCCCCCAGAGCCTGGCTGACTCACTCCACACAATATCTATTGGCAGCAGTGGGGATGGTGAACGACCAAGGTGGAAACCCGTGGAATTTCTTAGGGACAGTGCACATTTTCACGCTATTGAGGAAGAAAACAGCTTCAGAGAGATTAATGAAATCCCCGCTTTGGGGTACATTGCAAGTTCCTGGCTTTCTTTTCACTTTCGATCCTTTCCTCATTGTAACATGCTCTAGGAGGAACCAAGGCAGCATCACCAAAATGCTAGTGGTGCCTGAGCTTCCCAGGATGTGATACATTCACTGCTGTGACCAGAGTGTGATGGGTTCCTGCCACTGCCCAGTAGCTATTTTGTATGTCCGAAGCTGCTCAGGCAGGACTACGAAACACCTCACAGCATCCCTCTTACCCCAGGTTGGGGCTCAGGTACATAACTCCTGCTGAGCACCTCAAGTCTGGGTCTAGCATCCGCAAAACTATGCTATTGGGTCACCTACCTCTGCCTTACAACTCATCACCCTAGGCTGACAGATATTTAACTCGTCTCGGGAATAAACCACACACTTTCCAGCTCCCTGCCTGAGGCTGGCTTCTGCCTTCACCACCTTACAGTCCCCAGCAGGGAAGGGAGAGCGATTTTCCGCGAGGGCAGGAGGAGACAGCCAGCTAGTCGGCGAGGTTAGCATTGCTGGGGAGACCCTGCCATCTAGAGACTTGCAGCCGGTAGTGCTCACTGCGGCTGGAGCCGTCGGCCGCTGTGAGCATCGCAACACGAAATCCTCTGCATGACCTGAATGCCATTTGGCAGACAGCACCCCTGCGGCGGGCAGGCCGTGCCAGGCAGCAGCACAGCGGCATGGGCTGGAGATAACGTGCCAAGGTGGCCAGACGCCAGGCATTAGCCCCGTGCCACTTGGCTGAATCGGTCTCTGATGAAGCACCACATCCGCACAGCGGGGATGACCCCAGATGCTGGAAAGCTCCTGAGCCTCCTTGGGCTGTGTCCTTGCATGGCTGCAGAACATCCCCCTCAGGGGAGTATTTGATAGTCAGAGCTGGTGGGCATACCTGCTTACCACAGACCTTTTCAATGCACGGCTTCAAATAACTAATTCATAACAAATGCAAAGCTCTAGAAGTTCCTGCTGCCAGCAGTGATGGCAGGGGTTTATTTGCAAGTTGGGTGCTTTCACAGATTTTCCTCCAGCCCAGTGCCAAAAGCAGCCTTTGTACTGTTTTTGTGGTGCTATCCTACAGAACCAAAAATGAAATAAACCCACCTCTGGGGCTGAAAAGGGTGGACTGAAAATTAGCTTAAAGCTTTCATGCATGCATCACATCCATCCCTGCTTCTGACTTTTCACCCTTGTGACTTTAATCTGCATCTCTTGGGGAGCATCCCTTCATGATGTGAGGAAGGGCTGTAGGCTGAGAACCCACTGGGGCACCCCAAGGAGATCTTGGTCTTTCCTTCCTGGATGCTGCCACCCTCCCAGACCCCAGCACAGCAGCAGCTCAGTTTGAGGGGAGCAGACTTACAGCAGGTCATGGAAGTTGTTGATGTAGGCGACAAAATAGGGTGCAAAGATGGGGCTGTCTTGGGCAGTGCTCCACACCACAAACTCCTCCTCGAACCTGTGGGAGAAGGCACACAGGTAACACTAACAGTGGGGGAGCCACGGATTGCTCATCTTATGTGTACACAGTGGTGTCAGGAGACACTGGTGGCTGCCCCAACGTGTCCCCTCTGTATAAGGACATGTTTTTTCCAGCTGTCGTAACATGCGTGTGCACTGGAGGGGAATAGATGGCGGATAATTATGGGTTTAGGGTGTGCTTGCCTGAGCAGGTACGCAGCACTTTTGGAGAGTTGCCAGGGATCTCAGCACAAGAAATCTCTGCCTTTTCCTCACACTGAGGGATTAATTGCAGCTATGGTACTCAGGCTCATCAGTCTGGTTCTTCATTGCTCTGGCTTTTGAAGCAATATAATTTGTGCCCTCTTAAGCACACATGGAAAGGTCTTACCTCAGGGCTGATTTTCCACAGAAACGGAATAGGAATGGGGAGGCACACCTACCTTTCCCCTGTAACCTCAGCTGCTGTGTTAGGTGCCTGTTTCTGTGTAGCACAGCAGTCACAGTTTTGACAGCTATTTTACAGCCAGGTCCACATGGCTGGCAGGAGGCTCTGTGCTCAGGCAGGCTTTGCCTGGTGGTCCCATTCTTTGTCATGGTAAAGGCACCTGCTTGGGCTAGCCTCAGCCCAAGCATCTTGGGTTGGTTTAAGAAAAACCTTGTTTCAGTGGTCCTTTCATATGGGACCCCTTTATGTTGCAGCTTGCATTTTATGCCAACTTGCTGGGTTTTTTATAAAAAGGAAAAAAGAAAGGAAGAAAAGGAAAAATATTTTGAAAGATAACAAAGAAAAAGGAAAAAAGAAGCAGAGGGCAGGAGAGGAAAAAAGCAAATAAATGGGGGTGTGAGAGCTGTGGGAGAAGAAGAAGTAATTGATGGAATATCAGTACTATGTTTCTCCTCTAAAACCCAGACAGACTTCAAAGCCAAATAGCTGGTTTGAACTTTTCTGCTTGCTCAGGGCATGGGAGACAAATATAGATCACCAGGCTACTACTATATATGAAAGGGGTATATAGGTAGGGATATAGATATAAACAGGGAAAGCACTGCCTTTAGTGCACTTTGGACTCCTGGCATGCCCTGAGTTCATGCTCTTAACAAGCAGCTCTCTGGCTCGCTGTCCTCACGCCTGCAAAATGTCTATTAACAAACTCCCTGGGTTAGTGCCTGCAGCAGGTGAGAAACTTTAAAGGTTAATGGCAAAGTCATTTCAGTCTCGCTTGGAGCTGGTTCATCCTGAACAGCCTTTCTCATCTACAGATGACTGCTACAGAGAGTAGCTGCAACCCCCCCAAAACTCAGCCCCACCAGAGGTGCTGGACCCTCTGTGAGCCAAAACTCTTCCCTAGAGCATCCCCAAAGCACATTGCAAGGGGTAAGATCTGAGGCCATAACCTGGGGACTACCAAGCGGAACATTTCAGCAGAGATGTGGGATCCTGGGTCCTTTGGCCAATGGGTGAATTTTTAAAAGACTCAGAGTTAAGTTTTGCCTGGGTGTAACACGAAGGGTCCCATCTGCAAGAGAAAAACCCTCTCAACAGGACTCTCCCCAGGCAACCCAGGTAACATTTTGGGCAAGCAGGGTCTGGATCTGATGATTCGTAACTGCTACTTGCTCATGGCTGCAGCTGCAAGAGACCAGCATCCAACACCAGCAAGATCCCAGAGCAGCTAGCAGGTACTTCCTGGAGCTCTGACCTCAGATTTGGGACTCCCGAGAATCCTATCTGGGTCTGTTTATGACTCCTGCTGAGTTCTGCAGCTCGCTTATTGTTTGGCTCATTGTCATCTCTAATTCTCTCAGGAGCAGGCCCATGCCTGCTTGGTGCCAGCGTCTGGCTCAGTGCACAGACCTTTTCCCTGCTTTTTTACCAATGTGGGACTCATTTGAAAGGAATGTGCTGCCCGCAGCAGTGATGACCTTGGTATGAATTTGTGCAGCTCTGCCAGACACAGATCAAGCATTTTTGTTTCCAGGCTTCTGCTGATTGCTCTAGATACCTTCATGTGCTCCCCGATGATCTAGAGAAGGTCACAAAGAAAACCCCCTAGTGAATGGGATAAACAAGGGCAAAACATCCTTCACAAGGGCATCACACAGCCTTTGTTAATAAAAGTGACTTGCCTAGCAAAGGGGCAAATGGCCCACTTGTTGCCAGGCATTTTTTCATTATTCTCTGGCAGTTCTAAATATAATAATCCAGGATGGGCCAAGAGGCACAAACTGATCTGTGGCATAATCATTGATCATTGATGCCTAGGGTCAGGCATCACTCAGAAACCTTGCTTGCACTGGGGTTCTTCCCTAACTCCCATTCCCACAACCCTGCTGCCTCTCTAGAGTGAGGCAGACTGATCTAGCACTTCCTGAGGCATCCTACCCATCTGCTAATTCAATTCAGACATGCCTTCCCCGTGATCACACAATGTGTAATATTCCTCTATGGAAAAAGAGTCACTGCAGCAGGCAAAACTCTTTGATTTTCTTTCTTTCTTTCTTTCTCTCTCTCTCATTTAATTGAAATGACTCAACCTTTTGAGTGAGGAGAATGAATCAAAACCCCTCCTGGATTTATTACCCTGTAGTCTCTAAAGCTAGTAGGAGCTTTTGTTTTCGTACTGTTTAAATTGGAGTGGCTGTCACTGCCTACGGCCTTTCTGTGGCTGCCACAGCCCCGGGACAAAGATGCTTTCAGCCAAAGGGTTTTTCTAACAAACCTTTTCTTTCCACCTCTTTTTTGCTTTCTCCTTCTTCTTTCTAATCAAAGAGATTTAAGGGCTTTAAAATCAGTTGCCTATTATGTTGCTGACACAATTGACAGCAGGTTTAATTTGCAGCTAGAAGGCAAGCGGGAGAGCTAAAAGTTGTAATAAACAGCATTTTCTGCTCTAATGTATTCTGCTAGTGCGTGACTAACATAAATTATCGCAGGAGGCGGTACCTCCACCCCAGAAGGTAATGATCCCGTTTCTCTGGAGCCACAGAGCCCCCCGCACTTTGCCCCAGTTCATTAAATACCGTTTGAATGTCTAAGGAGAGTGAAGACTGGTAGAGATTTTCCTTCACTTCTGGGTGAACTTCCTTCTCCCACTTCTCCATGACCTCCAGTCTCAGGATGTTTCCAAAACAGCTTTTGATTTTTCCCTAAATGTTTAACATAGGAAGGAAACATCCAGCTCAGGATAATGAAGCAAACATGAGAAAACTGCTTCAGTGCATTTTGCTCTCTTGGCATATATATAAGGCTCATGTGTGTGGTGCAGAAAGGTAAGCAAAGTCAAAGGTCTTGCTCCAGACCCTGTCAGGCTACACAAGATCTCAGGAAAAATCAGGAGCTGTGGTTTGTGGGGGCAAGGTACAACTTAAGGAAGAACAGATCTCCTGGCAGGGGAATGTTTTGTCAGCTGCTTGACTGCTTGATTGCAAAGTTCTCCAGCAAGTGTACAACACAAGGTCAGGATTAAAGATCAAACTGGTCCTTTCTGGCAGCACAGCCACTCGAGTAAGTGGCAGCATGGTTCAGTCCTGGCTGATAAATCAGTCTTGTTGCCAAAAAAACAAAACCATCCTTCACCAGCACAATAGAGCAATACTAATTGTTGAATAAGCTGGGTACCTTGAGCTCACCTTGAGCAGTGCCCTGCTTCAGAAATGGTTAGCAAGAAGATGTCTGAGCCCAGCAAAGAGCCAGGAAAGCACAGTCTTACACAGGGTCCCAGCCAAGGATGGCAGAAAGGCAACTGAAGAAGGGGCTTCCTAGGGGGAGTGAACCATGGGGAGAACCTCTGCCAGCGCCATGTCTGGAGTTGTCTGCATATAGCAAACCTCAGATGTGCTGGAGGAGATCATGTGCTGTGAAGGTAGCAGCTCAAATGCTTTTACATCTAGCTTTGAAGCGCGTTCAATCTGCTGAAGCCCAGCTATGACCTTTCGGTAAACCTCTGTATGGGTCTGGTACAGTCCCTTTGGATCTGTGATTATCCAGGTTCAGGCTCATGGCCTGCTTTGCTCCCTGCGTTGGTGTTCAGGATATTGTGCTTTTTATTAAAGCCCATTCTGCACAATCTTGGCAGGACCCGGCACCTGGTGGAGCTAGAAACCACGATGTAGCCATCTGGGACCTTTACTGAGAGGCTGGGGCTCCCACACGTTCCCTGGGGGCATGTGGGGACAAGGTCAATGCTCTCACCTCTGCAGAAGTGATGTAGTCGTTTTTCAGTTTATCCCAAACAGCTGGCGTTAACAGCAGGGACAGGTTTTCTGTCTTCATTTCTGGTTTGAGATCGGGGTTACCCAGAAAGAGTTCACTGGAAAGATTCAAAAGAACAAATGATGTGGCCTCAGAATGTGCGTAAACCGATGGAATATTCATGTGGCATGAGCTACATAATTATTAAGCTCTGAGAAATATACTTCAAGCTAAAATTGCGGTGCTTGTTTTCAAGCTTTAACAAGAAAATCTGTTCTCCCTATTCAAAATCCTAATTATTCAAAACCAAAATGATTTAAGGTTCCAGCCCACCTTAGAAATCATGAGACTTCTGAGTTGTTTGGACATGAAAAGTACCATGCGAATTTACTTTTTAAAATAAACAACCTGGAGCTGATTCATTTGCCTCTGAGCCTGCAAAATGTCTTTCAGAGTAATTCCTGTAGCAGTGTGCTGCTTTGGAATTAGCTGATCTTCCTGGCTCCCCTCCAGTGTCACATCACTGCTTCTGTCAGGCTGCTATTTTCCCCTGTGCATTATCCCTAGCAATGGAAGGTGACAAAGCAGGTCCTGCTGTGCGCAGGGCAGCCTCTGGTAGGCACTCCCATGCCTGGAACATGGACCAGGGCAGCATCATGGCTTCTCCACAGATGGAAGCAGTCGGTGGATGTGCAGCTACAGAGCCTGACTCCTAAGTCGCTCAGCTGACACATGACTTTACCACTCATTTTCCTCTGCATTGCCCATGTAATCAGGCCAGCTGATTAGCAGGGAGGCAGGGAAAGGGAGGGAGTGCTTGCGCTTCTCCTTCTAGGGTGAGAAACCCGTTATTAGCCCGTACAATTGAATGTGCTACCCTTGCAATCTGCCATGGACCGTGGAAGCATTGTGTCTTTCAGGGTCATAAAGGTGGAGAGGAGAAAGAAGAAAATATTCGTGCACTTGCTGAATGTGGGACCTGAATTGCAAGCAGTAACCTGGTTAACAGGGAACACAGCTGCAGTGTCCTACAAAAAAAAGGACACCAATGGATTTAAATACAAACTCTCCCCCATGACTGAAAGGACTGGTTCCAACATATGCTGAAGGAACTTATTCCCTGCTTTCTTTTTTTCTATTTGTTTGAATTGTAGCATCAATAATGAGTTTGGGTCAGACAATTTATTTTTTGGGATGGGTCCCAAGAGGGGATGAAGTTCTTATAGAATGGGAAAATCAGTTGGAAACAGCCCAACACAGCAAGGTAATTGCAAGCAGTGCCCTAAACAGAGCAGGCTCTCAATAAGATCTTTCACAGCAAGGTAGAGAAGTACAACAGGGGTACTTCTCTTTGGTGCAGAACCTGGCTGCTGAAGCTTGTTTCTTCCCCCTTTCCTGCAATACTGGGGTGCAGTACAGTTCCTGGAGCTGAGGATATGCACAAATTTCCCTCCAGAGGAGACTGGCAGGCGACACGTGAGGGAGAAGGGCAATGGGATGGAGTGTCATTCCCACAGCAGCCCTGCCATAACACTTGTCAGCCAGTGCTACGATGCTGAGGGAGTCACACATGTGTCATCACAGTCACCACACCATACATGGGGTTTTAGGAGCAACAGACAAGTTTACAGAAGAAATCTGTTGAGGGCTGCTCAAAACAAAGACCATCTGCAGCACAAATGCTCCTGACCCAAAAGCTACCCCAGGCTAGGAGTGATCTGAGCAAGTGCTGCTACTGCTTGCTCTGTTCCACCACCCTCCTCCCTGTCTATTTTTGCCCACTGTTTGACTCAATATTGCTACTTGTGCCTTCCCTCCCTCTTTTGTTTGTTTAAGGGGTGCCAGTTGGTTTGTGCTGTCCCACCACTGACCAGCTGGTTCAAGCCTGCAGACCAGCTACCAGGACTGACATAATTTTGCTTTGACATAGCTGTTTTCACATGTTTATAACCAGACCCATCACCTGTGGACATTGCCTCTCTTTTCCTTCCCACCCCACTGTGTATATCTGTTGGGTTTTAGCCTGGTAGGCCTTTGAGGCTGGTGTGATGGGTGGTAGTCAAAGCGAGTGAATAACTGAGGACACTGACACTCAGTGCCTGGTCTTACTACAGGTGCCTTAGATGTCTCCTTTGGCTGCAAAAAGGAGGCAATATCCAGCACCACAGTTTTTACTACTGTTGCAAAGAATTCTGCCTTTACTCCAACACCCAGAGTGCCCTGAGGATAGTATTTGATATGTCCATACAGCTCCTAGAATACTTTAGTCACCCCTGGATTGCAGGGAGCTTTTAAAGGTCCTAAAACCTATGGTCCTCCTATTCAACCAGCAGACGTGTCTGAGCCAGAGCCTTTGTTTTAGTGTGGCCAGTTCCACATGGTGATGTCTTGGCATCTCCTCAAGATGACTGACCTGTGAGCATGGGGGTAACATGGCCTCTTTCCAAACACATCAGAGTTTTAATTAAACAGGAAGAAGGCAGGGCTCCCCCACAGGTCCCTCCCTGTGCCTGGAAAAGTCACCAAGCAGCTGCTGGACCTTCAAAATATTTGCAGAAAGGGAGTAGGTTTATCAGAGCTGCAAGGAGGAGCTTCCTGGAAATGGCTCCAAGCTGCGCCAGGGGAGGCTTAGATTGGATATGAGGAAAAAGTTCTTCACAAAAATGATTATCAAGCATTAGAACAGGCTGCCTAGGGAAGTGGTGGAGTCACCATCCCTGGAGGTATTTAAAAGACATGTAGATGTGGCACTTAGGAACATAGTGGTGTGGCAAGTGCAGCAGCTTACCTGCAGTAAGTGTTCGCCACTCAGTTGAACAAGGTGTAGAGCTCATTGAACTCCAGGGGTCTCTGGGAGAGATCTTGCAAATGTGAGGCAATGGCCTTGTGAAAAGCCTCCACATACATGTCACACACCTGGTACTCCTCCGGATAGCACTTTTGTACTGATAGCTTGATTTTTAGTAAGTCTTCACTCAGGTGTTTCTGGAGGAAACCCAAGTGACGATTAAGCCACGAACTGTCTTCTTCCTTCAATGCCATGGGTACCCTCAGGACCCTTTTCCTAGCACTCTCATTGATAGCTTCCTTCCACACTTCCTTCCACTTTCTGGGCATGCCAAGCAATTCTGACCCAGGATGACCAGCATTGCCTGTGTTAGGATGAGCTGCTTCCTCGTAGGCAATTAAAGTCACCAGGGAGGTCAGCATGGTATCCTCTACAGTGGGATGCTCCAGTGTTCCCACTGCGATGGCCTGGATCACATTTGTGAAGGAGTTATAAAGCAAATCCACATCCTTGGATTTCCGTACAAACTCCTGGGGGTTATTTTTGTATTTCTCAGCATCCCTTTCAGTGATAGTCTCATATTCCAACTACTTGATGCTTGCAAATGCTTCTAAAAGTTGCCTTTTCTGAATAAGTTCATTGATTTCCATTACTGCAGAAAGAAGGGGGAGGGGTTGGGACAAAGCAGGCATTAGGTGATTAACAGATTGGTAACAGGACAAGATGCCTCACAGGGAGGCTGCAGTTTCCAGGTCCCAGCAGTGCCCCTAAGGCTGAACCCCCAGATCTCCAGCTCCTGTTTGACAAAGCAGTGGAAATGCAATTACTGTGAATTGAGCCACATCTCTAAACTGCTGCTTTCAGAGGTAGGAAATATCAAATAAAATTATTATAGGCCTGCAGGAAAACCTCAAGTGATGGCTGAGACTGCAGAGAGGGACACTAGCATCTCAAGCTGCATAAAACCACCTTTGGCTCTGCCTGTCTTTAAGTGTGGAGATGAAGTGGGATTGGCAGCAGGAACAGTCTGGGATATACCCTACCAGTAGGATTTCCTTTAGCACAGATCCCCTTGTTTCCCAGCACACCATCATGCTCAGCACAGCTCTGCTGCTGGACTGGCCACGGTGGTGCAGCCCAGCTCTGGCATCTCTGGCTTAAGAAGATGCTTTAGTGTGCTGTCCAAGAAGTCAGGGAGAGTGCCCAGGGTCTGGCTGGAGGGAGCACAATCGGACAGACCCCTTTGGGCCTTCTGGGCTCCTGGTCAGACACTAGATGGTCATGTCTGCCCCCACCCTACCCCCAGCATGTCCCTCAGTGATACCAAGGCCCTGGGGGAGTGAGATACTGGCTCCGGCATGCTGTTCATACATTTTCAGGAACCCTCCCAGTTCAGGTGTAACCTTGGGCAAAGCCTGGGCTCCCCTTCTGGCTTGATTTTGTGCATTATCAAGTTTTCCTAAGACACACATACAACTAATATCACAGCTAAAGTTGCTCCTGCATTTCTCAGGGCTGACCAAAGTGCTAACGGCAAACTGCAGAGGTGGTCCCTGCTGATCTGCATTATGAGGACTCCTTGAGATGTAGGGATCAAGGTAGCAAGCCAGAGACTAGCCCATCCATGGCCTGCCACCCATTTCAAGCCTGTGCCTACCATAGCAAATGCCCTCTTAAAGATGCCTCTTACCTGTTCCAGATACTCAGATATTCTGTGAATGCTCAGACTCCTCTCAGACAAAAAGAGGGACTTCTGCAGAACCAGAAGCCACAGCTTCTCAGCTCTGCAGTTACTGCAGTCTGCACTAACCCTTTGGCTAGGGAATGAGGAGAGACTCCGGGATGGTGATCCCAGGGTCCCAGCAGGAAGAAATGAGAAACACCAAAATATGTAAAGTTCATCTTTCTGGGGTGTTTCAGGGTTGGGTGACCTGGCTGTTCATCGCCTATATATAAACCTACAGTCAGATGCCAAGCACTGCCTTTAGACAGGGACATTTGTTTTCCAAGTGGTGACCACTGCCTATTTGCCAGTAATATAAGTATTTGTCATGTGTTGAGAAGATGCAAGAACACTGTTAGATTTTGAGACTCCCTGGGAAGGTCTCACCATCTCCAGCATCATAACAAATGCTTTGAACAGGAGATCCCACTGTGATACTGGGCATAAAGCAAATATTAAAGAGGAGAAGGGAAAGGGTTTGATTTAGGCATGTGTGGCTACTGCTTCTGGGACTCAGATATATAAAATGATAGAGAAAAAATGGAGATCACTCAAAAAAATACATGGTTTGTAGCTCATAACTGATACCCTTGGGCTTGTCTGCAAACAGATTTTATACCATATGCATCAAATCTATGCAGCAGAAAATATCTGTATGAAGACAGAAATATGTCAAATAACCCAACTATTGATGCAGTATAGAAGGATCTGAGTGCCTGTATGGAGCTACAGTTACTTCTGTGCTCAGAAGGGAGGGAGACTGTGGCAAATAACTTAGCCTCTTCTAGATAAATTAATATAAAACCTGTGTTTGCACAAGGACTTGCAGTGAGAGACTAAAAGAATACATTCTGTTCTGTTTATCAAAGTGAGAAAATACCATTTAATTACTATCTAAGATAATTATTCAGGGAGGTGATACTGGGTGCTAAATGGATCTTTAATTTAGCAATAGGAGACCAGACAGCTGGTAGTTGAAGGAAGACAATTGAAAGGCAATTAACCATTATGCAGCTTAATGGTGCACATGGTGGAGTCTCCGTTGCTTGCCATGTTTATCTCAGGATGGGATGTGTTTCTGATAGAGCTGCTCCAGTCTAGGCCAAGCACGAGTTATTGTGCACAGTATGGGCCTTACTCATTCAGTTCCTCAGCTTGTTTATTTGGAGGAGATGAGAAGAGCTTACAGTAACATTTCCTGTCACTCCTCATCTATCACCCTTTGAGAACAGACTTTCAAAGTTTATGAGGTGGGCTCAGGTCCAGCTTACCAACCTCACAGTCTACCAGTGCAAAGCAGTAAATAACTTTATGGCACAGTTGAGCATATTACAGCAGTGAGACAATTTAATCCGATCCCCATGACATCCTATGCAGTAGACCAAGAATTTCTTTCTAGAAATTTAGGCTGAGGAAAGGTCAAGCATGTTGACCCACCTCAGTCTACCTCCTGGTGGATGCACTGTAGTGCCTCTGCCTTAAGAAGGTAGCGGAGAGCGGTGTTTAAACCAAGATCAAAGTCATTGCAGTTTGCCACACTTGGGGAAAAGTGAGAGCTATGTTGAAGGTCGTTATTATAATTTGACAAGGACCTATCTATATAATGCTGACAAAACACACGGGAGTAGCCAGCTGTAGGAAAACAAATCACCTAAGTACTTGCAGCACCACTGGTGTGAGAAAAATAGGCGGAAAGTCAGTGTAAGAGAGCAAAGTATCTGTGGAGGTCTCTTTGCAAAGCAGTCTCTAAGGTTAGGAACCAAGGTGGAGGTTCCAAAACAGATCACATCCAGACCACCTTTTTCCCCATCAAGAACTTGCAGCGAGACACAGAGCACATACTGCAGACTATCAGTCTGAGAGCTGAAGAGCAGAAATCTCCCAGAAGCACAATGCAGACAATAGTGTAGGAACAGCCCATACTGCACTTCTAGATATTGTCAGACCAGGAGCTCCCAAAACTGTGTTCAGCACATTGGTGACTGATAATGTGTGGTGGGCGATATATCCACTGGTACATGAGCTTACAGGTTGATAGTTAGGCTGTTGATATGCTTAAACTAATGCAGTGGAGGCCACAGAGCAGCATGTTCAGTGGTAGGCGACCTGCCCAGGCTGAACCAGGTAACACCCCAATGAGTTTGTCCTAGGGGTGACAGCTGTCTCTACCCCTGTTCTTTAGCACCTCTGCTGGGCCCAAGATTTGCAGAGTGAGCTACTTGAAGGTTACATGTATTACACTGATTGTTCTGCTTCTTACCTGAAAGAGGTTTTCCTTGAATGGGCTCTGCTTCTATCTTCTCACTAACCTCCTGCACGCCATTACACATCGTGGTTTTGTTCTCATAGCTCTTGGGGAATTGCAAAGAAAGTAGTTTTCCTTTCCAAGTGCCAGTACCTTCCTTTTCTTTCTCTTTGTTCAGACTTTGTTTTGATTTCTGTATACTTAACATTGTTTTAATACCTCTTTCAAAGAACCCACTGTCCATGCTATTCAGACTTGAGCTGCTCAGCTCGGAAGCAATCTCCCTCTTTTCCTTCCCTGCACTGTTTGCTGGTTCTGAGGTCATGCTCCTCGGGTTTAACTCCATGCTTCTATTCATTATGTCTTTCAACAAGGGTGTTTTTCCAAATCACTGAAATCCATAAAACAGCAGAATTAGGCTGTCTCCAGAATACAGTGTCTCCAAAGTCAGTCCTGGACTGAAAATGTGGCCCATCCCTTTCCTGTGCCTAATATAAGGACAGAGCAAGACTTTGCTGGCTGTAGCTACTAAAACAATCTCTCTACACACAGACACCAGGTGCTGGCCTGCTTTTAGCTCTGGAAAGCTCTATTTAACTCCATAAATCAGGCAAGTGGCAGCAGCTTCTCCAGCACCAAGGAATCAATAAACACCAGAGACATTGATACCTGTGTAAATGTGACATTTTGTTTTGTAACAAGGTATGTTTTTGCTTTCCATTCTTCTAGGTGGATTTCCAGCCATGTAGGAATGATAACCTTCCCAGGGTCTCACTGAGGTATTGTCACTTTCTCTTGTGGATACAGCAGTTTTGGGCAGTGCTGCTGTTTCTACCCTGCTCAAGCCCTGACCTGACACTGCTGGAATGTGGCCCGTGGTTGAGCAGTGCCTGGTGTGTGGCTGAGCTCTTCCCTAGTCCCTTCAAAACCAGAACAATCTCTGCTCTCCAAAACATCATGGTTACAGTGCGGGAGGCTGTATGATGCAGTAAGGGTTCACATCAGCCATTTTCACAGTATCACAGTATCACAGTATGTTAGAGATTGGAAGGGACCTTAAAAGATCATCTAGTCCAATCCCCCTGCCGGAGCAGGAACACCTAGATAAGGTTACACAGGAACGTGTCCAGGCGGGTTTTGAATGTCTCCAAACAAGGAGATTCCACAACCTCCCTGGGCAGCCTGTTCCAGTGTTCTGTCACCCTCACTGAGAAGAAGTTTCTTCTCAGGTTTAAGTGGAACCTCTTGTGTCCAATTTGTACCCATTGCCCCTTGTCCTTTCATTGTTTGCCACTGAGAAGAGCCTGGCTCCATCCTCGTGACACTCCCCCTTTATATATTTATATACACTAATAAGGTCACCACAGCTGGCTCAAGGCAGCCCAGTGATAGGTTTAAATCATTAGAAACAGCTATTGTTTGAGGTCACCCAGGAACTGCCTGTCTCGGGTCTGTGCAGCTCACAGGAGCCAGAGACTGAAACATGGATACAGTGAACAGGCATGTTGGGACTCTGGAAATAGATCTCATGCTTCTTTGATCTGAGTTTGGCCTGAGTTTTCTCCCTGGTGCGTGATTATTTCACAGGCTATAAACTGCAGGGATTGCATCTTCCCATGGGTTTGCTGAGCTGATCACACAGTGGGGCTCAGACCGTGCGTCACACCCTCTCAGGGGAATATTCAATCATTCACTGTCTTGCTCATGAGCTCAGCCCATCACAGCCTATTCAGAGGGTGGGAGGGAGAGGAGGGGACCCTCTTTCCAGAGATTTCAGTAGGAAGGGGTTGAGTCCCTAGTTCAAACCCCACATGGGGCTTCTGAAGCCAGAGTGGAGCAGCAGCAATGATCAAAGGGGTGAGCCAGGGAAGTGAGTGGAGGGAGGCAGGGAAGGAGGGCCATAAGATGTGAGCCCATGGGCAAGGAAAGAGAAGGGATACACACCCCGGTACTGATCACACCAATCCTCTCCACAGCGAGCTGGGATAACGCAGGTGGGATCCACAGAAACTGAAAGCATCTCCATGCCACACGAGAGCTCAGGGAAATGTGGTGGTGGGCAGGCAGCTCTGTGGGGCAGAGGTCCACATGAGCTCACGCAGCACCTCAACTAACTGGAGCAGCATCCTGAGCACCCGCGCTGCCCAAGGAGCTTCCTCCAGGAATAGTGCCGCACTCCATCCTCCTTTGCCGTCTGGAAAATGGCAGTCGGAAGTGGCAAAAACAGGCCTGTCCCCAAACACACAAGACCTCCAGCACCTTCACCTGTTATCTCCCCAGGAGAGACTCTGGCACTGTTTCACTTTCATTCTGCCGAGGCATTTAAAAGAGAGGAAGAGGTGTGTGTGTGTGTGTGAGGAGCGCTGAGCGAGTTCCAAAGTTAATTATTCACCTTGCAAGTGAGACCACAGGCCTGACAATGGGGTGAGCTGCTCTGCTGAACTGGTGGGAAAAGGATTTTGGCACCTGGTCCTGCCCTGCTGGGGTGAAACCCCATGGTGTCCAGGTGTGGGAGTACAAAAGCAGCCCCAGAGCTGCCATGTGGGAGTGGGTGAATTTCACCCCCTTCTGTCTTGTTTCTGGCGGTCACGGGTGGCTTGGTCCTAGTAATGATTGCCAGGTGTGAGTGAGGGACCGGGAGCACTGTGTCCCATGTTATGTATTTGTATATTCACCTCCCTGCTCCTCGCTGTGCCCCAGGGACACTTATTTCCATGGGGCTGGATGCTGACCCTGGGTTCTTCCACCCCTCAGAGCTTTTGGGCACCATGGAGGGAACTTGAAGCAAAGGAGCAAAAGAGGGGTTCAGAAGGTTTAAATGACATTGAACAGTCACTTGGCTTGTCACTGAGTGGTGTGAGTGATCTAACCCTGGGGAGCCCGAGGTACCTGGCTGGACACACTGGGCAGTCCCAGGTTGCCAAGTCACTGGTGGTAAAGCAGGAGAAGAGCACAGAGGAATTCCTGCCACTCCAGCCAGTAAATCAGCTTCATCGGGGCCAAAATTAAATGCCTCTATGCAAATTCACATGGCAGGGGGAATAAACAAGAAAAGTGTGCATGCCTCCAGGGCTATGATCTTACTGGCATCACAGAGAAGTGGTGGGATGGTTCCTATGCCTGGAGTGTTGGAATGGAGATACAGGCTCTTTAGGAAGGACAGGCTGGGGAGAGGAGGAGGGGGTGCTATCCTCTATGTCAATGACTAGCTGGGGTGCATGGAGCTCTGCCTGGGGATGGATGAGGAGCTGACCAAGAGCTTATGGACCAGGAGCAAAGGGAGGGCAGGGACAGGAAACGTTATAGCAGGTGTCTGCTATCCAACCAGGAAGACTGAGCAGATGAGGCACTCTTGAGAAAGAGAGGGAGCAGCCTCATGTTCACAGCCCTGGTCCTCTTGGGAGACTTCAACCACTCAGATACAGAATCATAGAATCATAAAATAGTTAGGGTTGGAAAGGACCTTAAGACCATCTGGTTCCAACCCCCCTGACATGGGCAGGGACCCCTCACACTAAACCATACCACCCAAGGCTCTGTCCAACCTGGCCTTGAACACCGCCAGGGATGAAGCATTCACAACCTCACTGGGCAACCCAGTGCCTCACCACCCTCACAGTAAAGAACTTTCTCCTTATATCCAATCTAAACTTTCCCTGTTTAAGATTTAACCTGTTACCCCTTGTCCTATCATTACAGTCCCTAATGAAGAGTCCCTCCCCAGCATCCGTCTAGGCCCCCTTCAGATACTGGAAGGCTGCTATGAGGTCTCCACGCAGCCTTCTCTTCTCCAGACTGAACAGTCCCAACTTTCTCAACCTATCTTCATACGGGAGGTGCTCCAGTCCCCTGATCATCCTCATGGCCCTCCTCTGGACTTGTTCCAACAGTTCCATGTCCTTTTTATGTTGAGGACACCAGAACTGCACACAATACTCCAAGTGAGGTCTCACAAGAGCAGAGTAAAGGGGCAGGATCACCTCCTTCAACCTGCTGGTCACGCTCCTTTTGATGCAGCCCAGGATATGGTTGGCTTTCTGGGCTGCAAGCGCACACTGCTGGCTCATGTTCATTTTCTCATTGACCAGCACCCCCAAGTCCTTCTCCAGAGGGCTGCTCTGAATCTCTTCTTTGCCCAGCCTGTAGCTGTGCCTGGGATTGCTCCGACCCAGGTGTAGAACCTTGCACTTGGCATGGTTAAACTTCATAAGGTTGGCATCAGCCCATCTCACAAGTGTATCAAGGTCCCTCTGGATGTCATTCCTTCCCTCCAGCGGATCAACCGAACCACACAGCTTGGTGTCATTGACAAACTTGCTGAGGGTGCACTCAATCCCACTGTCCATGTCAGCGACGAAGATGCTAAACAAGACCGGTCCCAACACAGATCCCTGAGGGACACCACTCGTTACTGGTCTCCAGCTGGACATTGAGACATTGACCACAACTCTTTGCATGCAACCATCCAGCCAGTTCTTTATCTACCGAGTGGTCCACCTATCAAGCTGATGTCTCTCAAATTTAGAGACAAGGATGTCATGTGAGACAGTGTCGAACGCTTTGCACAAGGCAAGGTAGATGACAGCAACTGCTCTACCCCTGTCCATCAGTTCTGTAGCCCCATCATAGAAGGCCACCAAATTGGTCAGGCAGGATTTCCCCTTAGTGAAGCCATGCTGGCTGTCACCAAGCACCTTGCTGTTTTTCATGTGCCTTAGCATGCCTTCCAGGAGAATCTGCTCCAAGATTTTGCCAGGCACAGAGGTGAGACTGACTGGTCTGTAATTCCCTGGGTCATCCATTTTCCCCTTCTTGAAAATGAGGGTTATATTCCCCTTTTTCCAGTTGTCTGGAACTTCACCCGACTGCCATGAATTTTCAAATATGATGGCCAGTGGCTTAGCAATTTCATTTGCCAGCTCCTTCAGGACCCGTGGATGGATTTCATCAGGTCCCATGGACTTCTGTACATTCAGGTTCTTAAGATGGTCTCAAACCAGATCCACTCCTATAGTGGCCCCAAGGTCTTCATTCTCACAGTCCGTGCATCTGCCTTCCAAGACTTGGGCGGTGTGGTCAGAGCATTTGCCAGTGAAGATGGAGGCAAAGAAGTCATTAAGAACCTCAGCCTTCTCCAAATCCAGGGTAGCCAGTTCTCCTGATAGCTTCCAGAGGGGGCCTATATTGTCCCTAGTCTGTCTTTTATTCACTACGTATCTACAGAATCCCTTCCTGTTATTCTTAACATCCCTAGCCAAGTTTAATTCTAACTGGGCCTTGGCTTTCCTAACCTGGTCCCTAGCTTCCCAGACAACATTCCAGTTTTCTTCCCAGGCCGCCTGTCCTTGCTTCCACCTTTTATAAGCCTCTTTTTTCCTTAGAGTTTTCCTCAGCAGCTCCTTATCCATCCAAGCAGGTCTCCTGGCCCTCCTGCTGCACTTCCATCTAGTTGGGATGCAACACTCCTGAGCTTGTAGCAGGTGATCCTTGAATATCAACCAGCAGTCTTGGGCCCCCCTGCCCTCTTGGGCTATAGCCCATGGAACCTTACTAAGCAGGTTCCTGAAGAGGCCAAATCTGCTCTCCTGAAGTCCAGGGCAGTGAGCTTGCTGCACACTCTTCTCACTGTCCTGAGGATCTTGAACTCAACCATCTCATGATCGCTGCATCCAAGGCTGACCTGCAGTGCCACATTTCCAACGAGCCCTTCCTTGTTGGTGAGCACGAGGTCAAGCATGGCACCTCTCCTTGTTGGCTCCTCTATTACTTACAGAAGGAAGTTGTCTTCCACACAATCAAGAAACCTCCTGGATTGCTTGTGCCGAGCTGTACCGTCCCTCCAACAGATACCAGGGTGTTTGAAGTCCCCCATGAGAACAAGGGCCTGTAGGCATGAGGCTTTTCCTATCTGTCTATAGAGTGCTTCATCCACAGAGTCCTCTTGATCAGACTGTCTGTAACAGATCCCCACAATAATGTCCCCTATAGCTGTTGTCCCTTTCACCCTGACCCACAAACTCTCTATTGACTGATAACCTGTCCCCAGACAGAGTTCCATACTCTCCAGCCTATCCCTAACATAAACAGCAACTCCCCATCCCTGTCTGCTGGGCCTGTCTTTTCTAAAGAGCCTGTAACCTTCCATTCCAACACTCCAGTCATAGGAGCCATCCCACCATGTTTCCGTGATGCCTTTTGTATCATACCCCCATAGACGTGCACACATCTCTGGGAGGGATTACACAGCAGGGCATAAGCAATCCAGGAGGTTCCTGGAATGCACTGATAACTTCCTCCTCCAAGCAGTAGGGGAGCCAACAAAGAGAGGTGCTATGCTGGACCTTGTTCCACAGAAAAGGAGGGGCCGATGGGGAATGTGAAGCTCAAGGTGAGCCTTGCCCACAGTGATCATGAAATGGTGGAGTTAGAGATACTTAGAATGGTGAAGAGTGTCCACAGCACGCTTGCTACCCTGAACTTCAGAGAGCAGACTTTGGCATCTTCGGGAATCTGCTCCCTAGAGATAAAGCCCTGGAGGGAAGAGGGGCCCAAGAAAGCTGGATTGTATTCAAGAATCACCTCTTCCAAGTTCAGGAGCAATGCATCCTGACAAAGAGGAAGTGAGACAAAAACACCAGGAGGCCTGCATGGATGAACAAGGAGCTCCTGGACAAACTCCAGCACAAAAAGGAAGCCTACAGAGGGTGGAAGGAAGGACAGGTAGCTTGGGAGGGATACAGAGAAACTGTCTGAGCACCCAGGGGTCACGTTAGGAAAGCTAAAGCCCCAGTAGAGTTAAATATGTCCAAGGACATCAAGGGCAGCAAAAAAACCCTTCTACAGCAAAACATGAGCTGGCTTCAGTGTGCGCTTGCAGCCCAGAAAGCCAACTGTGTCCTGGGCTGCATCAAAAGGATTGTGACCAGCAGGTTGAGGGAGGTGATCCTCCCCTTCTGCTCTGCTTTCACGAGACCCCCCCTTGCAGTCTTGTGGTCATCTCTGGGGCCCTCAACACAAGAAGGATGTGGGCCTGTTGGAGTGAGTCCAGAAGAGGACTACCAAGATGCTCAGAGGCCTGGAGCACCTCTCCTATGAAGACAGGCTGAGAGCTGGGTTTGTTTAGCCTGGGGAAGAAAAGGCTTTTATCCTTGGGCTCTTCAGAGACTGCCCTGCCGCACTAGGGAAAGCTGCAATGGGTAACGCTTCAGCCCCTCTGGCAGGGTGACAACAGGTCAAAGGAAAGGAGCTGTTTACTTAGGCACACGCCAAGGTTTGGAAATCCCCTTTGGACACAAAGTCCAACTAAACCTCTTTCCATCCTGGTTGGTAATTGCATCTTTCACTGGGTATTCATGGGGTGCTGATTTGAACAGGCAGGCTTGCTACAGCTGGAGTGCAGCCTGAACAGGCAGCAGGTCTGATCTCAATAGGGTCTGATCTGGACCTCCCTCAGACTTGTCAACTACCCCAACACACTAGCCTGCTGGGGTGCTAATAAACACTACCCTGGGGGATCTCTGCACCCCAGGTTAGGTCAACTCTCTGCCCACAGCTCTTT